GGAAGGACGGAAACTGTGTTATTGTCAACTAATTTTGTTTGGTTTAGTTTGAAGTCAATCATATCTTTCAATGTTTTTATAGCTGCCCTAATTGACAATGTGTTATTAGTGATACCTATAGTCTAACGCATGTCCAATAACAAACAAGGTATCTTTTATAAAAGCAGCCAAAAGACATTTATCAAACATCACTGTCCACTGATGGATAACATCAACTATACTCCAACAAGTCAAAATGATCATGCAGTAGCTCCATTATTTCATCGAGCTGAGAGTCACAATACTGCAGATCCAGTAAAGCTCTCACCAAGCAAAGAAAGCCTACAGCTGTCTTCTGAATACACTGGAAATGGCCACGAAACTCCTCAAGAGACAACATATTCTCAGCTCAGGGATTATTCTCACCTTGCACACTCTGGCCATCCATCACAGCAACTATTGAAGGCTGGGGATCAACAGGAAACAGTATTTGCATCAACTCGATTCTATGATGACATTGCTATTAATAACAATAATGATCAGTACAGTCCCAGAGTTAATGATACTACTAAACTTCAACAGTCTCCTTACCAGTGGAATGTGATAGGAAAGGTATCACATACTGCCATACTGGTACTCATACTGCTACTGTTGGTAAGTATATTTGTGATGTTGCTTTATTTGGTGAGAAAAGATTCATGTGCATCAGGTACAAGCAATACAGTTAGTGATAGTGCTGGCTTTGCAAGCAATGGTAATTTTGGTACTAGTAACTTGTCTCTTCTCCAGAATAAAACGGATCATTTATTAGATCACATTGCACAGCATGATGAAAACACAGCAATTATTCTACGCAAGATAATTACTTCTACTACTGAGTCTGACTCAACTGTAGATGACATATTGCTTGCAGCAAACCAACTTTTGGCTCTAACTTTAGATCTAGAATCATGTCATGACATCAATCACATACTGCCCAACAGTCCTTCAGGTTACTATCATTTAAATACTGATCAAAGTATTTACTGCAATATGGGGGAGCTGTGTGGGGAGAAAGGAGGATGGACAAGATTGGGTTATCTCAATATGTCTGATCCCACACAGGATTGCCCTTCTGATTTTGAAAATACACAAAATAATGGAATTAGGACTTGTAGGAGAAATATGTCTAAGTCTGGTTGCTCTAGTGTGAACATTTCAGCAAATGACATTGAATACACTCAGATATGTGGTAGAGTGATTGGATACCAAAAAGGCAATACTGATGCCTTATTCCACAGCAGCGAGGGTATTGATTCCTATTATCTTGATGGTGTCAGTATCACACGTGGGTCTGCTCTTCGTGAACATGTCTGGTCTTTCATAGCTGGACAAAGTTCAAATTCTCTTTTAAGGTCAAGCTGTCCTTGTAACGCTGGATCTACTGTTAATGTACCAGATTTCATTGAAAACCACTACTATTGTGAATCAGGTAATAACTTTACACAAAAGAGTCAGACTACATTTTACTCTGATCCATTGTGGGATGGTAAAGATTGTCTTTCACTTGAATCTCCTTGTTGTGAATCAAAGACTCTCCCATGGTTCTACAGGGATTATAATGCTTTATCTGCCAGTGATCTTGAGCTACGAGTGTGTCGTCGTGGAAGTGAAGATGATGAAGACATTCTTATTGCAATGTATGAGATTTATGTCAAGTAATTTTAATTTTCATTTATCTTTAGTATATCCTTTTAAATGCAATGACTCAAACAATATTGATCTGTTGTTCTTCATTATGTATCATTTACTTATTCATTGTGTGTGCATTTTAGTTACTTTTTTGTAAAAACAGTTAGTAATACTAATCACTTGGTGGCAGTTCATTGAGACTACTGTATGTATGATCATGAGTTGGTACATATGAAGCACTTAAACTCAGTGATGCATCATACAGGGTATTGATAACAGTCTTTCCTTCTGAAGCATTGCTCTCCAAGTGTGGCCTATAAACAGTAGAATAACTTATGTTGATATGGTTATAGCTAAAAAATTTATTTGGATTATATTTAGCTATAGCCAAGAGTATCTACTCTTGCTACAGCCTATCAGGCAACATTGTTGAAGAATGTGCAACTTTGCATCAGTTTATACAACTATAGTGGTTGCAGCATGAGTTTACTTCAACAAGTTGTCAAATTCTATCTGCCAATGCTTACCGTTCCATTCGGTTTATTTCATTAGCAGATCCATCAGGATTATCATAATCATTATATGCACTATCATTCAAATTCCCTTGCTTCCTCTGCTGGACTAGTCTCAGAATAACGAATATAACACTCATGATTATCACAGCTACAACTGCACCAATCACTACACCACCAATCCATGGCACAACTGATGTAAATATAAAATCAGAGTCCCCACTAGCACTAGTGTTTTCTGTTGACTCTGAAGACAATGTAACAAAGTTCAAACAAGTCCCCCTACTCACTCCATCATTATTAGTAACATTGTACACACAACATGTGTAGCTCTGACCACTTGAGAGATTAGGTATAACATTCTCATTCCTGTCACCATTCACATTTTTTATGAGAGTAGTAACATTGTCTGTGCAGTTGATGGTATAATGATGATCACTATCATCATAATTGCTCACAGACTCCCAGGACAAGTCCACTGATGATTGGGTTATCTCAGTGACCATTAGATCAGAGACAGGTACAGGTGTTACTATAGTGAAGTTAAAGTAATTATTAATTTTGCCAGTTTGTAGAAGCATACCTCCACACTTCACGCCAGCTATAGTGTTGATATTGGTACAATCAGTTATAGTTCCTGTACAAGCTGATAGCATTCCTTCCCCTTCTCTACAATGAAAACTGATATTTGCTCTGTCTTCCATGGAGCTGTTAGCATTAATCAACACTGGACTAGCACCTATACATGCAGTGTAGCTACATAGAGTGAATACATACCGGTAGTTTTAGTATACCATTTGGGTTGTGTCCTAGCTCCCTACAAACACTCTTGGCATTGTTGTCTGTCCATGTGACATTATTAGCACAGAGTGTGTGCCATTCTCCTTCAGTGCATATCTTCAATAGTCCTGATTCTTCAACTTGAACACTCCCAGCAGTACATGTGACATTTGCTATTTTAAAAGAAGTTCATTAGCCATTGTAGTTCAATGTGGCAACTAACTTTCACTGCACGCTGCTCTAGCATAATAATGTACATCACCTCTCATGCAAGCATTTTTATTGTTTCCAACAAAGTCATCGTGAGGGCAGTCAATCAGCCTCTATTCAGTTCCAATACAAAACACAGTTTGGAAGCTGATCATGCCATCATCGATAGAAGAATTAGTTACAAAGCTAGAGGAGTCATCATCTGCAGTATATATAAAATAAATAGCATGAATTAAGCATATACTATAGACAAGTCAGTACTTATTCCAAGCAGTCCCATTTGCTGACAGAATACATTGTTATCTGTGGTGGTCCATCTATCCAATGGATAATCCCTAGCACAGATATAGCCCCACTGGTCACCAAGGCAGACTTGAACAACACTATCTCTCTCTGGATCAAACCTTACATCTCCATCTTCACATCCTTGCACACTGTAGCCTATAGACAGATAATCTACATAGTATAACAGTTGCAGTTACCTATTGAATGCATAAAGAACAAGGAGATTGCAAACTTAAAGAGAAAAGTTGCCATTTTTGAACACCTCAGCATATAATTAATGACTATTATTATTTTGACAATTAGATCAGGGTATGCAATGTAAAAAAACAGACTTGGGATAAAAATTACCAAAAAATGTCATTACAAGCATGTAATTGCTACATGCTATACACAAACCATGCAGTATAATAATCTGAATTAATCATGGTACAAAATTAACAAAATAAAAAAAATGCTGATATTCAGTTCAAAGGTATTGAGTAGGAGCACTGTTAGGAGGGCCATCAACAACAGTGCGATCAATAATGTCATAAAGTGGGACTACTTCAGCACTCTTCTGCTCCACGCGAAATCCTTCAGGCCTCACCAATCCAGAATACCCAGGATTATTGTGATGACTGTTGTAACTAAACAGTGCAAAAAGTAAATAATGATAGCATTATATGTTTACTCTTCATTATTAAATTTCGTTTTCTCCTTCTTCCAATGACAATAGCAAGCAGTGAGGATTGCTACAAAGCTTGCCAGCAAGATGCCAACAATCACACCACTGAGAGCTGAGCCAGCACCTACTGAAACAGCATCACCCGAGCCGGAGGAGCCATAAGCAGCAGGTGTAGCAGTCACGTTTGGTTGTGATGAAACTACAAAGACATAACAAAAGAAGTCACATACAGAGCGACATTGGCAATATTTAATGTATAATCTTTGAAGTTTCTCTGCTAATGAAGGCACATTTGGCATGTCACTAGTAAATATTTTGACCAACATACACTATGCAAAATTTGTTGCAAACTTGTTGCATGCAAGACAGTTTATACAGGAGTAAATGGAGCTTGCCTGTTGCATGAAATACGAACAGTTCTATTTTATGCAACATGTTGCAAGCTCCATTGACTCCTGTATAAACTGTGTTGCATGCAACAAGTTGTTTGCAACAAATATTGCATAGTGTATGTTGGGTTTAACAATGCTGTTAAGTTACCGGGTATCTACGTACATGTACATGTACATGAAACTCACTATTAAGAGGACCAGTAGTAATAGTCAAACATGTTTCTCTTATATATGGTACTTCAGTTAACTCAACACAGCAAGTGTAGTTAGTGAGAGGAGATAGACCAGTTACCATTGCACTGGTGGTTGTGACTTGTATCCAAGCCTCTTCTATCTCACTATCAGATCTACAATAAACAGTATACCAGATATCATCATCTTCATCTTTATCTGTTGTCTCATAGTAATTCATGGCATCATGTTCCCACTTTATGTAAAGTATAGAGCTTGACCATTTCATCCGAATTCTTTCAACACTTTTAGGCCATTCTAAATACAATATTTAATAGTTTATAGTTGTTTTGTAAACCATTTCTCACCGCCACACTCTACTCCAGCTATGGGATTAGCTGTTGTACAGGGAGGGCTGGCCATTAGGCTATAGGAACAGGCTAAAAGTGAGCTCTCATTCCCTCTACAGTGAAACCGACCATTAAATACACCAACAGTCCTGCTATAAAGACTTACTACTCCAGGCTCAGCACCTATTATAAATGTAATAATACACACATCAATTGCAAAAAGAAACATGTGAGATGTATATTATATATACCAGGGCTACATACCTATTGGGTTTAGTCCCAATTGCTTGCAAGCTACTTTTGCTTGTGCTCTAGTCCAAGTATGTGCTATCCCGCAGAGTAAAGTCCATTTCCCTCTAGCACAAAACTGAAGTGGAAACTGGTTCCTTGACTTGTTCACAGTTAAATCTCCATTCCTGCACTCTGCTCATTAAGAAACACACAACATGGAAAATATTAGAAATACTATAATAATACCTGCTGGTTCGCATACAGCAGCAGCATAAAGATCATTCCTGCATCTCCCATTAAATGTATTGTATATAACAGGAGTACGACATTCTTTCAGTTTAGTTTCAAATCCAGTACATGCAAAAAAGTGGTAGTAATAAATAGGCGAAAGTCGAGTATTACTGGTGACATTAGTGATGTCTATACAAAATTAATGCATTACTCTCATATCTATGATCTTACCTCCTTTTGATAGCTTCTTTCCCAACTGTTGACAAGCGACATCTGCATTAATCTTATTCTGTTTGATATTATTACTGGCACACATGTACCCCCAAATCCCTCCGCTGCAAAATTGCAGTATAGGCCCATTGCCTGGATCAACTCTCAAGTCTCCTTCATAACAACCTGTTTATAATGAAGTCAATAACTTAGATCCAGAAAAGTACGAGATTTTACTGTTTTCTCCACTGCCACAAGTTGCAATGATAATAATAATACAGAAAACTGCCCAGGGCTGCATTACATTCAAGGCAAAACTGAACAAAATGAAATGAGTTGATTACTTTATACGTTTATTTCCTCATCAAAAAAATTTATTGCAATAATTATTATTAATAATAATAATAATAACAATAATAATGAATAATAATTATAATACAGTGAACAGATGAGAGAGAGAGGGGGGGAGGGAGGAAAAAGAAGAAATGAAACAAAAAGAAGATTTATTTATAACAGTTAAGAATGAAAACAGGAGAGAGCTCTTTAATGTGATGCCGTCTTAAAATAGTTGTGGCCAAGCAGACGTAGAACCGTCCCGCCATTTTGGATCGCAAGCAATACTCGCCCGACACAGCGGGCAAGTCCTCTCTCTATCAAACCATTGGAGGACACAATTCTCACAAAAAACATGCTAAAGCATACAAAAGAGAGAGAGAGAGAGAGTACAGTTATATGTACAATAATCAGGTACATGTACAATTTTACAACATACCCTGCATCTTAGCATGATTGGTGCATTGAATTCATCCTGACAGATTGGGCAGGTTGACTCACAGCTCTCCAGCAACTCATCCTTCTTCAATGGAATGCCGTAAGTCTACGGACAAATATCAAAGAGAAAAGGTTAACTTAATCACACATGTACATGTAAATGTACATTTAAATGGATACATGTACATATATCATATGTGAAAAGGGTGTATTTTAGGGTGGGAAAACTCGACTTAAAGAGAATTTCTATCTCTTTAAATAAAAGTACATGTACATGCATTATTACTTATTTATATTGCTGACTTCAAAAACTTTAAAAAATTTTCTTAGGCCTCTAAAAATAGTACATGTATTTACATTGTACCTTGTCACGTATAAATGTACAAAGAGCTTTAAAGAGTTCTCTACCACTGGCTAATATAACGGCTCCTTTTATCATAAGGTACCCTGCAGTGACTATGATGGCAAACACGGCCCCGGTATCATAATAGTTGGAACAGAATCCAAACCAGAGAGGAGTTGGTATGAGGGTTCGATAAAACTGGGACAAATTCTCTAGTAACATGTAGTACTTTCCCTAGAAAAATACACAAAACAACAATAATAATATTAATTACATGTACACAAGTAGCTATACACAAAGTACATGTACATGTACATGTATCGCGTAATGAAAGTTACAGTTATAGGCGAGGGATTAAATTTGGCGAGTTACATGTACACATACATGTACATGTACATGTTTTTTTTTAATAGTAAAGATAAAACAATAATACTTAATATACATGTACTTATGTGTGTCTGAGATAAAAATTTAAATATTATACTGAAGATATAGTATATACATGTAGTATGTACAATGTATGTAGTTTAGTAAACCCTCCCATCTGTACATGTACATGTACACGTACATGTACATGTACGTGCTACATGTATTAGCTGCCATGAGGTAAGACAATGGTGAAATCACCAAAATTAAACTCACAAATCTACATGTGTACATGTTTTTTTTTTTAACTATTTACAAAAATACATATACAATATACATAATACATGTTATATGTATGAGTGTCTGAGTTAAAAATAGATAGATAAATAATAGAACATAATAGTATACAGTATTTGTGTACATGTAGTTTAGTAAACCCTCCCATCTGAGAGAGCTTGCTCATGAGATCGGAAGGAGTGACAGGGATGATGGTAGGATGAGCGAGCACCTCTGAGACACATAATGGAGCTCCTTAAAAGAGAAAATGAAAGGCGGCATCGAATCCAGTTAAGAATCTTTGAATAGCTTTTGGAGTAGCGGATTGACAGCCTTGATGTACGTGTACCAATAAATTACATGTACACGTAATAATAATATACAATAATAATGTACAATAATAATGTACAATAATAATATACAATAATAATGTACAATAATAATGTACAATAATAATATACAATAATAATGTACATAAATAATGTACAATAATAATGTGCAAGACATAAAGTACACGTACACGTACATGCATAAGCATATTATTATATGGTGTAAAGTTCCTTATCAAAATAAACAGAGACTGACAATATCAAAGCAGTCTAGGTTTAAATGTACAATAAAGTACACAATGGAGTGTAATACTAACAAAAACAAGACACACTAACATGCAACAAAGGATATTGAAATATCATACAAATCATAAAGTCAACTGTCATAAATAAAAAATCGGCTACAACAACACTCATGTACATGTACTGTACATGTACATGTCATACATCTACATGTACATGTACATGTACATGTCATACATCTACATGTACATGTACATGTACATGTACATGTACGTTATAGATAAACTACAGTACAGTACATGTACATGTGTTACATGAGTGTTGTTGTAGCCGATTTTTTATTTATGATGTTAGTTGATTTAGAAGCCTCAGCTTCACCTTGGCTTCTAAATCAACTAACATCCTAGTGTATATCCAGTAACCCTCAACATCTGTAGTTTACCTATAACATGTACATCTACATCTACATCGTACATGTAGATCGTACATGTACATGTACATGTACATGTCCTAACAAAAACTGATCCCAAAATTTTGAGTTATGAAACTTTAAAACTTACAAGCCCGCAATCATGCTAGTCCCATGGCCCTGACAGATTCCATCAAATATACATGTACATGTAAAAAAACATGTACATATACATGTACATGTACATGATT